GTCTCACAAAGCTAGTTCCCAGAATTCCCTAGCAGGAGGGACCCATGGCTGACGCTGACTGTGAGACCAAGAGGAGACCATCCTGGGGGCCTGGTTTTCCCATGCGGCACCACAGCCATTGTTTGTTGTTGTTGTTGTTGTTGTTGTTGTTGTGTGCCTTCAAGTTGTTCCTGACTTATGGCAACCCTATGCTGGGGTTTTCTTGGCAAGAGTTGTTCAGAGGAGGTTTGCCATCGCCTTCCCCTGAGGCTGAGAGAGTGTGACTTGCCTAAAGTCACCCAGTGGGGTTCCATGGCTGAGCTAGGATTCGAACCCTGGTCTCCAGAGCTGTAGTCCAGCACTCAAACCACTGTGCCATATGCTGGCTCAACTTTAGACGACGAAGCCATGAACTGCCATACAGGTTACCCAGAATTCCAAAATCTGACATACTCCAAAATCCAAAATTGTCCACATGGGTGGCTGAGACGGAGGTCCAAACCACACGGCAGAAAGAATCCAGTTTGAGACTGCTTTAACTGCCCTGAGTCAGTGCTAGGGGATCCTGGGAACTGTAGTCTTGTGAGACATTGAGCCTTTTTGGTCAGAGCGCTCTGGGGCCAGAATAAACCGGGCAATTAAAGCAGTCTCAAACTGGATTCTTTCTGCCGTGTGTTCTGGAGCAGAGGGAGCAGCGGTGACTGGTCATTCCCAGCCAGTAGGGCTTTAAAGAGTCCACTCCGGGTTTTAGTGTGAACTTAACGGAGTGATCACAGGTGCCAAACTCTAGCTCCAAAACAGGTTCAGGACCTTGGACAGGTCTCTGGGAGTCTGAAATAAAACCTAGCATGGACTGACCTGCAGGTGCCCAGCCTGGCATTGATATTGATATTGATATTGATATTGATATTGATGATGATGATGATGATAATAATAATAATAATAATAATAAGTTCCAGGCTTAGATGAAATATCCAACAGTAGAAGGCTCTTTTCTATGTATTTTGGGGGACACTCCATCCAGGGATAGGCAACCTTTTTTCCCCTTTAAGGGCCGAGGGACTTCAGCTCCCAGAAGCCTCAGCCATGTTGGCCAATAGTCCCATGTTGGCCAATAGCTCCTGGGATTCTGGGAGATGAAGTCCCTCGGCCCTTAAAGGGGAAAGGGTGCCTACCCTTGAGAAGGTCCATGCAACACACAAAGCTAATAGGTTTGCTTTCACTTTCAACAGCGTGGCCTAGTGGTTTGAGTGCTGGACTACAGCTTTGGAGACCAGGGTTCGATTCCCAGCCCAGCCATGAAACCCACTGGATGGTCTTCTTGGGCAAGTCACATGCTCTCAGCCTCAATAGTGAACCTCCTCTGGCTCCAATCTTGCCAAGAAAACCCCATGATAAGTTCATCTTAGAGTTGCCATAAGTTGGAAATAACTTGAAAGCACCCAACAGCAACAAAGAATCCTCAAGCCTTTCAGTAGTCACTGGACTTCAGTTCCCAGCATCCCCAGCCAGCATATTCACTAATGAGGAATGCTGGGGAAGGCAATGGCAAGCCTCCTCTGAACCAATCTTGCCAAGAAAACC